GTCTTACGCTTTGCATAAAGATAAATCCTCCATTTCGAAAAATTTGATGTATTGATTGGATAGATTTCATTTCACGATTCTTATTATGTACCTGTTCAGGCGAATGTAAAAGATAAAGATATACTAAAGAAATAATACTTAATTAAAACAGTAACAATATTTTCATAAAATAACATATTAAGATTATAATTGCATCCCTGAAATTTTAAACTTTTGTATATAAATATCACGAATTTATAACATGACTTAATGGTACCTCTTTCGAAACGTCGTTTTGTCAGACATCAAGGAACCTCACTCATGTCAATGTCATGTTTGTTTTATTACGGTGCGTAAACCGATCCCTGCATCAGCATTTCAATGCAGATTTTATAACTGACATTCTGTGATATTAAAGAGTGAATTTCTAAGAATCGTCTGGATTCAATCGGTTTAACATCGCAAATCTTGCCTTCGGGTTCGGTGAACTCTTTATTCACTTCCAATACTAAGCTTCATTAGTTTCCGAACGGATAGCAAAGTTTGAATATAGAATAGATACTGTTTTTTTTCTTTTTGATTACGAACGTTCCATTGGTAAGTTTGGCGATAAGACCGGCCACATTCGAATTTTAGATGCGAAATAGAAAAACAAATGTGATACTTGTTCGACTTCAGATTTTTATTTTAATAAAAAAATTCTAAACAAGAAAAAACTATTTTAAACTTAACTAACTCTTAAAAAAACTTTTTAAGAATATTACCGTTATAAAATTGTAATATATACGTACAATTCAAAGTAGTTAACCATGACCTAAATACGAAGATATAACGTAACCGAGGAAGCGGCAAGCATGAAGAAAAGTAGAAAACGAAGCTGTTCAATATTAATGATTTTCTCTAATGAACTTTCGTGTTATTAGCAATAATTTATTTAATCAAGTTTATTGTCATCGATAAAGTTAAAGAAAAACCATTACTCTGTGGTCAGTACTGTTATTTAGCGATGCGGTGATTGTGCCGAGAAAATGTACAAAATAATTTAAGATAAATGAAGAGATATCGATGTTTTTACACAAAGAACTTGGTACGTAGCTCTATACTGGATACTTTAGTATGAATCTTATATACGAAAGAATTTGACCATTAATGATGTTTGCCTTAAGAGTATATCATGTTTCCGATTCCTTTCAAATTTCAAAGAAGGCTATTTTTAAATAAGTTTCAAAATAATAATAAGTTGGTGAAAATTTAATATGACATGTTCTTCTAAATTAAGTGATTGTACTATTCAAATATAAAACAAACAAATAACAGGTAACAATTTATGATAAGGAATATCTCTCTTTTATTTTGACCTTTTTTCTATTCTTTATCTTTATCTTTCCAATTGGCGTACGAGTTATATCAAGTTTATATACAAACAATTAATTTCAAAATGTGATTTTGTAACCGGAAATGATATTATTCAATATCTGATAACAATACTCCATAAAATTGTTACTTTAATTGAAATATCAGTCGCTCCACAACAAAGTCGTGACAACTGGTAATGGTGAGTTTTGACTACATTGTACCAGTTTTTGCGCATTGCTACATAACTGAATAATAGGATAATGGACCTATGAGGAACGATGTTAAATTCCTCGGCCGATATCTGAGCGCAATGCATACGACGTCGAGGTCACTGATCTCCGTCGTAATTGAATTCATGCAGAAACTTATCCGAGCGCTAAATCGGAACCGTAAAGTGTGCTTTACGGCATCCGACTAAACCGTTCACCGCTAGCTCTGTTAGAAACAAACAAATGCTTTTAAGAGAATCGGACCCAATGCGACACCTTGCGGTACGCCAGCTGCTTTCCCCACGAACGAGAAATACGAGAGGCGAATGTTTAATGCCGTCGCAAAACTTCCTTCTTTGGTTTAGGATACACGTGAAATTAGGATTTTTGATCTCTTTTGTAATACATATAAAGGCTAAAAATGCGTACCGAATGTGGTAGAAAGTTTGCGAAATGTCGCTCCACTTTTGCACATACGTTTTGGATCAAGGTTAATAAAAGTGATCTCGATTTACCGCTTATGTGATCGGAATGAAACTTTTCTGTTTCCTTTAAATATAATATAGTAAAATGTTAAATCGGTAAGATTCTTGAAACTAAGTATAACTAAATAGTTTTGGTAGCTTGGTAATTTGTATACATTTCTTGTTGATAACTATATTTCTTTCTCTTATGTAGGTTTCGGTTTAAATTCGACATTTTTAAAAGAGCTTTATAAAGAAAAATATAGACTTATTAGTAAAACCACACATAACACTATAACAAAAACCCGAAAAAATGCCACAATAAACAAACAAATTTGTTTTCAATCGAAGCCCATATCGCATAATTCCTGTGCGCTTAAATGAATTCACAACGCGTCCTCTTGCTTTGTGAGGAATTACCATTGAATGGCAATACTGAGTTAATGTCGCGAGGAAAACTATCGAGACAAATAAAAAAATCTTTTGTGCTTTAATTTATCTGTTAACTGCATTTTTATAGTTAGGTATGCTCTGGTATCCGCGTTGGACAAATTAAATGATTCGTAGCTATAGTTATTTGCATACTACATTATTATTCTGTATATTACTACATTACATAATCTGGTGAGCAGAGAGAATCTTCGTTGTTAAGACGAATCGATTGGCCACGCCGATTAAAATAATAATAATAATAAAATATCTTTATTCACATAGACGCTTGCGCGTTCTTATGAAACGGCAAAATTTTACAAAGAAATTAACACGTTCGTAAGTTACCACCAGTTCGAAAAGCAGTTTCTTGCAGTTGAGAAGAAACCGGCAAGAAACTCAACAGTTGCTCTTTTTAAAAAAGTCAGTTTACAATATAATAGTACAGGTACAATATTGCAACAGATAATATGGGTTAAATGTCCACTACTGGAAAATATTGTGTCATAGCTAAAGCATTTTTCTATTGTAGTTTTTATTATTTTAACATCTATTTATTAACAAAAGACAAATATTTTTAACGGTCACCTATTACCCACGGCACAATGTATGCAGTATAAAACACGTTATTATGGACAACTGTCATTAAAAGATACAGGCTTCCGATTCAAGAGCTTCTGTGTATATTCATCACATTAAGGGTTTCGTGGCACGATTTACTGGGGCAGTGCGTTTATTATATTCAGTTACATCCCTTACCATCGGTTAGGCGTTCGGCATTTCTGGTAAAAACAATTATCGACTTTATGTTCTTCCCCGAAACATGAAGTCAATTCGTAAATTACGGGGGCCGTGTCCAACATATGTGCCCACTCACGACGACTCGGTTATTGTACAAAATTACATGTTACGGTGTAAAGAACTGCGAGACGTGTGTTGAGGAATGCTAATGATATAATTCTCTGTTTGTCCTAACGGTCTCTTTTATTTATTATATAGCTGTACACTCCTCTGAACGCGCTTTTATTGGTTTCACCTGAATGCAACTCTGTATGAATGCTATGAAAGCTCACCGTTAAATTTGCATTCGCTTCCTGACATTTGAGCAAAAAATTAAACTCTAATGGTACCACAATAATTTAATAACTATAATTTACGTATAATAATTCATGTAAGGTTATGGTAATCACTTAAAGAAGCCCAATTTTATATTATTAAGTACATGGTGCAGTTAAAAAACCGATGATTTTATTGTTACCTTGTATAATACAGGAGTATCAGGATTCATTACATTTACTGGTGGCCGCTTTTTGGTCTAAATTCGAGCGTAATTTATTAAATTTCTAATTAAGTAAATAGTCGTTTTTCTCAGACTCATTCAGTCGATTAAACTTTATAAAATTCTTTGGTAGCAATCTTTATTCTTTGCAACAGTTAGAGAATGACAAAAGCGGCTAGAAGTAAAAGTGTTATACTTTTACTTTTCGTCTGGTGAGTGTGATAACCAGAGCCCACTTTATTAAATGGTAGCAACGCATCCGTAACCCATGTGTGTTGCGGAATCGTCCAAGTGTATTAATTCTGTAACTGTCGAGTTGTCCAAATTGTTCTTTATTAGTTAGAATTTTCAGATTATAAATACGTCGTTTGTAATCTAAATTAACGGTGGTAGGGCCACGCAGCAGCCTCGGCTGTTGCACGAATGGGCAGGCCCATCCAGATAAGTACCACGACCTCACAGAAGACCAGCGTAAAGTGGAAGTATGGCAAATATTTTAGCGTTTCGTCTGGTGAGTGAGGTACCCGGACCCCAATTTTCAAAAGGTTGTCAACGCATCTGTCACCCTCGGGTGTGGCAGATGTCCATGGGCGGCGGTATTCACTTACCAGCAGGTGAACCGTCTGCTCGTTTGGCAACTTTTCACATAAAAAAATAGGGTTTTGTTATCTTGATGATACTATAATTAATTTAAAAATAAAAAATAAAATAAAAATGTTTTTACTTCTGTCAATGTAATTTTATTTTTGTACGTAAACGCATGCTGTACTGTTTATATAAAAGGTATATTAATCCCAAAAATAATATTTAGCGAACTATACGTATATTTATATAATATGCTGGATTTTTAATTAAACCTTCCTAATAAAATTGATCTCGATTTTCTTTTTTTTTTTCTTATAATAGTACCATATTATCTCCAAGGAGCTCTTATTCTACTTTACCCTAAAGATTTCCGTGCTTAATGATTCTTCCTTCATTCTTATTCCCGATATACAATTATATTCTACCCGCTCTATTAAACGACTGCGCAAACGTCAGACCTCATTATTCAGAGTTATTTGAACTATTTCCATCACGTCGACTCTTAGCAGCTTCACGAATCCACACATTTTCAGCCCTTCTAAGAGGCTGACAAGAATACGGTATATTACCCGCAAAGGCGCCTGTCCAATTTAAAATGGCCTTTCGCTCTCTCCCCATCAGGTCTGAAATTGCATTGTTGAGGGGAATTCTTATGGGTATCTGCGGTCGTAAATATACTGGCGGTTTTGTAAATGCTCAATGGCTGCCGCAGGATATTGGAAGATTCCAAGGCATTCGCGCTGCATTGAGTGGTACGCATCACTATGGAGCCACGTTATTGAAAGCCGTGGAGAATCGACTGTACCGTTTGGCTTAGACCAGTAGACAGAAAAACTATTTGTAGTGCTTGAAGAAATATTTTCTTATACAGACTTTTAAAAAGTTACTAAAAATTGTTGCCTTGTATAGGTCATCTTTGGGTTCAGTGCTTAACTGATTTAGAAACTTTGAAATGCACAATTTTTTCTTAGTTACATTGCATAATTTAGAGAATGCAGTGTTGATGTGAATTTTCAAAAAATATCGAAACATTTTTTCACCGTTGCGTGGGTTCATACCTGCATATTCCGTGTATTTTTTGTCTACCAAAAAGTCAGTCTTTACATATAATATGTCTATCCAAAAGTTGCCTGGAAGAAATTACTTTAAGTAATGTGGCCGTCCATTGTACAAACCATATCTAATTGTTATTTCCATGATGTGGGCAACAAAAAATATACATTCACATTGAGAATTGGTACTAAAAGTTAATCATAACTCAGGCTGTATTAAAAATAAACGTGTTTATCTTCTTGTATGATTACTTACAGCTGATATTTAAAATAGTAAAATAAGAAATCTGACCTTCAGGTATTATTTAAAGGTAAGTCCATCCTTATTTAACTACAAAATATGTATTTCTGAGCATATGTATATGGCGAGAGGTCTCGGTTTATTTTGTAGGTTCTCTTGAAAATTAATAGTGTGTCTTATTCGTTCTTAGTCATTGACTGCTATGCCGAATCAATATTGTAACCGCCTAGCTACTGGGACAAAAATTTATTATTTTTTTTTATATTGATTCTATTGTTTATTCTTTTTTTATATTGATGTCAAATACTATTACTATGTTTTTTTAATTTAATGACTGCATGGCAATTCAATTGCTAAAGCTAAATTTGCATGCTGTTAAACAGCTAAATAGGTTAAAGCGACAGACATGTACTTAAACATCTTTGTAACCATATTTATGGCAAATAAATATTTGAATTTGAATTTGAATTTGTGTACACTGGGGTTTATATGATGACCGAGGACCATTGTAATATTACAAAACAATTTTTTGTTTTGTAGTATTTATTACAATGAAGTTTGAAAGATGGTACGATCTATTCAAACTAAATCTCACGAGCAGTATGATGTCAGATGATGAGCTTATCGGATTTAGATTGGACTAAACTGGCGAGATTTTCGGTGCCTTTTGTAAATTAATTTTACAATCTTTTATCAAGAAAATAGTCTGGGAGGAATCAATTACCATTTTTGTCATAATGCTGCTCCAATACTCCTTAATTGGTATCTTTTTTTTCTTTTCGACTCTCACCTCCATTACTTGACTCCTGGATCACAATTAGGTGGTCCTCTATTTTTAATGTTTGATTGATGGTGGAATCATTGCCCGTCCCTCGTTTATACCCGGTTCCGTTTATTTTTAAAACCTGATTACATTGTTGGCGACGCGAGTTCTCGGTAGCCGGGGACTTTTTACTCGATTTCGTATCTGAATTACAATTTGTTACTTAGTTCTTGTTGAAATAAACATCGTATTGGTACAGGAAAGTGAGAACAGACACTTATAAGCAATGAACGACAGGAGTTTGCCACCTAGAGAACGCATTGTCCATTACTTCGTTGTCTATAGGTTTATTTTTGATACCAATTGAATATCATTTCAAATGATGGAAAATGGTGATGCTAACCTTGGTTGAAAACTAACTAATAGTTCGTTCATTCTCATCTAGAAGTCAACTACGGTTCATACTTTTTTACATCTGACTTGTTGATTATCTGTGAGCCTAGTAAACTATAACTTTACCGTCTTGATTAAAATATGATGTTTCTGTGTTCAATCTGGTCTGGAGAATCTGGAGAATGATTTTCTTAATGTTCAGAATGATCAATTCAAACGGTTTAACTATCTTTTTGGCAACTCAAATGGCATTTGAAAAGCCCTTTGACAGCTGATTAGTTAACATTTACGATGATAAGCGTTTCATAAATCGGGCGTCAGCTTGGTTACTCGCTCCGGCGCAGTCCGTTAAGCCAACCGAAACTCTCGCGAGCGATACACCAGTGACAATAAGGCGCCTAAAAGTGACATTGTGACATTGTGAACGATCAGTTCGCGTTTCTCCACAAAGACTTAGCTTGGTTACTCAGTCCGGGCGAAATACCAGCGCTCGCGTATCCAGCGTCCGGAGCCTGCGCCGTGAAAGGGCGCGCATTGAAAAAAGGCACGCGGCCCGTCGGCCGTAATCAGGAAGCCGCGGCAGACAATGGGCGAAGGACAATGATGCCGCCGGCAGACCGTGAAGCTACCTGGCGAGCGCTGATTGCCGCGTCCTAGCCGTTCCGGATCGATGGGGACGGCCAATGATATTATATACAGATAGGAGGTAGATATGACACTAGCGCACCGTAACTGAGGCACTCAAATTACGCCAATCGGTGTGATTATATTGCAATTCGTTAGACTGCTATCTCTTTCGTATCATACGTTCTATATCAACCGTCGCATTCACTTTCGTACGTCATGAAATGTAAAGCGTAACAATTTCTAAACGCCGCGCAGTGTGGACACGCGTCATCTTTATTAAAACATCTTTGGGGACGTCGGCGTTTTCTGAGCTGTCATAAGCCAAGTCAAAGTCGAAATCGAAACAATCACTTAAACTGTGTTAGTTTTTTTGACGTTCAATTAGAGCTTAAACCGAGCCTATATTGAATAAAAAAATTTATATATAAATTTTAATTTGACTTTGATATCTTTAATGTCTTGCTTTATATTTTAACAGACATCAAAAAAGAAGGAGGTTTAAATCGGGTGACGTTTTTTACGTTTGTTAATATAGAACATCGACAGTTTTGAATTTTTAATGAAAAATTTTTGTCTTTTTTATTTTTGGAATCTTGGAATCCATAATCCAACCGGGAAAAACCTCAAAATGTTATACAAAATGTATAAAATTCTGTATAACCTTTTTTTATAGTTAGTGAGATATTGGAAGTCGGCTTTGTTTTTTGTTAATAAAAATGTACTTGTTTTAAGTGATAATCATTTAACAATAATAATAATATAATAAATATGTAACCTTTCTCCGTTTTCCTTTCTATTTTGTCCAACAGGTTCTTTTTGATGGATTTTCCTACTTATATATTAGTTTGAAAATGGATAGGTTTTTAACGACCATTGGAAAATATTAAAATTTGGGCGATTATTCGCAAATGAATATGGGATAGGTCTCCCTACATCGCTTCGATGCATATTTTGTATTGCCCATTGTATAAACAATACCGTTGCTTGCAACAATTATGTACTGTGCTACCTACAATATTGTGTTATTCATGGTATTTGCACAAGCACATATCCACACAACACTAGCTACTGCTGGTATCTGTATTTTTTTTATTTTTCAGTGTAACAGAATCGCTTTATTATTTTTACCTTAAAAGTTCACGGACCATTCGAATCGCCATGTGTTTAAAAATAAATCGCGATAGAATCCGTTATTTATTGGATACGATATTTACGGGATACGAATTCAAGATATGAATTCCAGTATGCTGAATTAATTGACAGTATCTAGACACTGAGCTATCGGGTGCCAACACGGATACAGGATGAATTAGATTCGATTTTATATGTGTATAGATAAAAAATGAAAATGTTTAAAAAAGAATTTGTTGTACCCAATATGCAACCGTTGACACAATTAGACTATTCAATTGAAGAAAAAAATATATCCGGCTGGTAACTGTCAAAAAAAACCGGCGGTAAAAAAAACCATATGCCCAATTTAAAAAAAGAATGTCAAGCGCTTGGAGCCATTCGAATGTCATTCGACCGCCACAAAGAGGTCTTAACAAGCGTAATAAGAGGTTTTAATTCGCACAGAATGGAAACGTGTAACAGTATTCCTCAGTTTCGTACTGACCACGATTTGGTGCTCCGTGTTTGTCTGATGCTTGTAATATTTGTAGTAATATAAAAGTAAAGTAACAGCCTATACATGTCCCCCACTGCTGGGCAAAGGCCTCCTTCTGTACAAAGGATATCAGGGCATTGTCCACCACACGGCCCCACTGCGGATTGACGGACTTCACGTATCTTCGAAATATTTTGTTTATTTATTATTTCGAAAATACGCATGTTTCCTCACGATGTTTTCCTTCACCGCTGAGGACGTGATAATTCGGCACTTAAAATTAACAATTTCATTGGTGCCGGCACAGGGGATCGAACTCAGGTTGCTCGAGTATATTGAGTGAAAGGGGAGAGCCCGGACACTGAGCTATCACGGCTCCTCCTGCATAAAATAATTAATTGGCATTTTTCTATGAAGACGCCTTCTGGTGGTAGGTGATCGCCCCCAAAAATTCTACAATCCTAACACCAGACGAACAAAAGCGTTGTCTACCTTAAGTTGAGGTTAGGCTCTCTAACGACTTATAAGGCGTATAGCGGCTAGAATATTGAAGCGCGGAAATACCTTTAGTAGCTTACAAATCAACATTTTTCAATAACTCACTACCGATAAGTATAGATCGTGCGGCATACAATGTCCGTAGCAATTTGCCAAATGCATGGCACATAACTCAAATGCGCCTGCGTAATGTTAGCACCGCGAGTTCTGCCCTTTAATCGTAGAGTGCAAAGATCGCTTAATAGAAGAAACAAGTGTCTAAAGAGCTATTTTCACAAAACCGTTGTTCACAACTTTGTATGGCGTTGTTCAGGAAGCGATTTGGAATGCGGCGCGGAAGAGGGGCCAGTGACAATAAACGGGAGACCTCCACGCAGATACCTATAAACTGTCAGCGTAATGCCTATAACGAACTTTGAAGGCGCATCCCTATTCAAAGTACAGTCGCTGCCACATCCCGGAATCGTTACAAGTCCATTCAACAGTGCAGGCGACTGTACGCCTTCGAAAATGAAAGTTCCCGCTCTATTATCGGCCACAAAACACTTCGGTGGCCGCACTTTCGCTCGTCACTGTAGCGCTGTCAAAACAATATTGTAATTCACAACGGCGTCCGAACGTGCTTAATGAAGCTTCTCGACATCGATTACGGAGTGTTTATACGAACGTGAGAGCGGTGTGTCGAATCCGGATAGACGCATGTATTAAACGCAAGGGTGCTGAGACACTAGTGAGTAAGCAAAGAAGCTTTAATCAAGTGTTAAACATAAAGGTGTTGCGGCACTAGTGCGTAAGTGAAGCACCATTCGCTGTGTAAATTAAACATTAAGGTGCCGCTAGCCTAGTGCGTAATTGAAGTAGTGTTCGCTTATTAACATTAAGGTGTACATACAAGTAGCAAATAAGAATTAGCTTATGCAAAATTCTAGTGTGGGTGGACGTAAACGGGTTGGAATAAAAAATTCATTCATTCAAAGCGCAGCATTCGACTCAGTAAAAACGTCTGATCGTCTGGTATAAAGAAGCAGTAACAAGTGCATAGGCAAAGGTATGGTTTGGTTAATGCGATCGCAATAAAACCATTTAATGTAATGTACATTAAATATAAGTTTTTATCCTTTTTCTGTGTACTGTAATGATGACCCGATTGGCCTTGAACCTTGAACCGCAGACGGTCTGGGTTCGATCCCAACTACTGGAAAATATATGATGCACAATATTGTTTTTTCAGTATCTAAGTGTTTATATTTTATGTGTTTAAATGTTTATTTATTATATATTTATGGGTTATCTAGTACCCCCCATAGAACAAGCGTGGCTTAGTGTGGGACTAGAGAACGTTGTGTAAAAATATATCATGTGTACGGAAAAAATGTATATGAACTAGGACAAGCGATATATTATTTGACTCTTTGGTTGACATAATCAGAATTAAAAAAAAAAACAATGTAGACATTATTTTTAATATCTATCAATTTTTAGCTGTGATAGCTCAGAGTGTCCGGGCGCTCACGTTCAATTCAGTACGAGTATACTCGAGCAACCTGAGATCGATGGCCGTATGTAAAAAAATATACAAAAAATAGTTCGAAGCTATGTGAAGACGCAGTGGGGACGCGTGGTGGACCCTAATACCCTCTGTACAGAGGATGCCTTTGCTCAGCTGTAGAGAAAGAAAGAAAAAAAGAAAGAAATATTTATTCGGCGCATTACATTATACGACAAAAAAAGCCCAAACCCGTGGGTTCTGGCTAGCCCACCGGTTCTGCGTCAGATGAAGATTTAATAGTCCCGGGACTGAAAGCACAAACATCAGTTAATACAAGATACAAGAACGAGAAAAAAAAAGATTAAGAAATAACACTAGAATTGTAAAAATGTATGCACCAAAAAGGTCTCCGCTCAGTATATAGCCGTGGCAGACAGTACCACAGCACTGGTTTTCTGCGGATACCTTGTAAGATTGGCGTGAAGCTGGATATGTATAGGATATTTTAATTTTCTTTTACATGATTGTTTGAAAATGTTTGATATAAATAATAAACTATCTCTAATATACCTAAAACATACAAAAGAGTCTAAACTCAAAAGTGGTGGCGAATATGCAGGAAGTCAATAGATGCAGGTGGTTCAGTGTGAGGGAGAGGCTATTGCTCAGCAGTGAACAGGCTTAAATGAGGATGATGATATCTGTGGCGAATTCACGGCCGACTTCGTTATTTTCCATGGAGTGTGTTCGACGAATACTCGTAAGCAATAACGACAGTGACTTGCACTCGATCAACTTGATCAACCATTACTTTATAACTAAACCGGCCTTTCAGCACATCGTTTGTTTGTGCATCAATTATTTGAACAAACGTTGGAAAGTTGGTGCCGACCAAAGTGTGTGCAAACTGTTTGTCATCTAGAGAGGTGACTTTCACACCTGCACTGTTTGTATGATAATGTCAATACTGATGTTCAACCATCCGTTCTCTTACCTTTAATTTTTTTATTCTCTTTTCTTATAAACGACTCTCCCGAGAGTATTATCCCTGTCACGCGGGTTTCAAATAGAGGAATTAATAGCTAGATTTACACTTTTACACGCCCTGATTTGTGTATGTATGTACGTATACGTACGCATTTATATCAGGTCTCTTCACCTGTCATTTTTAAGACTAGAAAGGTCGACTACACGTGACAATCTTGTCACAACTTTATCTCACGTAAGGGCAAGTGTAACGCTTTTTATTTGTTAAATATCGGTCGATTAGAATCAATCTTATCCTAATAACTGTACACGGAGACTTCAATTACAGCAACAGCTACTGACTTAAACACGGAAGGGTTGAATTTTGGAATTCGATCTTAATGAATAACCTTGAGATAGCAAAGAGGCATTATTTTAGCAACGATAGCGCTGACTGGCAATATTCGATTTCGCAAAACGGGAAACAAATTGTTACCTTCCATAAACGTGTTATCCTATGATTTAAATCTGTGATTATTGTTAAATGTCTTACCTCTATCATTGCTACCTACCTATTATTTCAAAGCTGGTGTCAAAGTCGAAGTCAAAAAACGCATCACATTGAGTTTTAGTTCATTAAGCATCTACCAATTAAAAACTTACCAACTAATAAAGTAAACCATATCAGAGGAATCGGCAGCGCTTCGGCGATTTGTACAACTTCGTAATGGTGGCGCGAAAAAAAATTCGTTAACTGTACACGTTAATTACAACTAAGTGCTGTAACAGTACCTCGGAATTCGATTATCGGAAACATCGAATGCAAATTTTGTTGATATAAAAAAAAACAGAATCAAAGGAAACGTGAGACTAAAGGCCCATTTACACGATACCATTTTCTTGTACATACAAGAGCAATAATTGAATGCAATAAATTGCGCGCAATAATTGTTAAGACCATTTGTTGTTTAGACCATGCAACTCATTTATTGCTTCAATTTAATTGTATACAACAGGCAAGAAACTAGCACCGTGTAAATGGGCCTTTAGTCATTAAACTGGACGACGGTGAAGTTCATTGACCTGTTTCCTTGTGACGAATAAAAAAGATATTATTATCGTAATAGTAAAATCTATAGACAAACATAGCTCGCCAAGTAATGTAACATGCTATGATTCTATCGCCGTACACAACTGCCAGCACTGATTTTTACAGTTCCGTATGAGCAAAATGGGACCCTATTACTAAGACTCCGCTGTTTATCTGTCTGTCCGTGTGTACCGGGCTGTATCTCATGAACCATGATAGTTAGACATTCAAAGTTTTCACAGATGATGAATTTCTGTTGCCGCTATAACAAAAAAAGACTAAAAATAGAATAAAAATATTAAGTTCGACTCTCATACAACAGACATAATTTTTTGCAGTTATTATAGATAATGGTATAGAAAACTTCACGCGCGAGTCCGACTCACACTTGGCCGGTTTTTTTTGGTCGTAAGAAATCGAACGCAATTAAAATTCTTGTTATATCCACAAGGATCTAAAGTTTGAATAGATAATTTTTAAATAAGATATAGTAAATTTTAAATTTAAACGATTCTTACTTAGATATTTAGACGATCTTTACCCACGTTGGATAAAATGTGTTTAATGATTCAAAGCGGTGTAGGCTTTCGCAGCCGAAGAGGTTTGATGGAAAACAAATTGAAGAATTTCTAATCGATTCTGTTCAATTATAACCGAAACTCATAACGTATGCAAATTTCGCATCAAATGGCATTCATCGCACATTTCCAATTAAATTCTCTCAAATTTAAGAGGGAATTTCAATCAATTATCTAATAATAATAAATTATAGCGGATATTTCGTCGGTCGTAGTAACTTTCAGTTTCACCTCGGAATAGATTTTCTCATAGGCTGAATTAAAATTCTTTAAATAGACCTATGACGTTCAGTATGCATAAAAACTATAGAGATTAATGATCATAAAAAATAACAAAAATTATGTTTTGTGATTCATGTTAAATTATTTTGCGATTTAAGCCTAAGCGGCTTAGATGAAAAGGCCATGGCAGCTGGTCTAGAGCGGCTTTTTACACTTTTCTTAAAATTTTACCCCCAAAATATTCCACTTTATCGTTTTCATCGCTTAACAATTACATTGGTAGAGACACAGAGATCAGCACTCTGAATTTCTAGAGTGAAGTTATATGGGCGTTAGCTCTGAGATATCAGCAAAGTATTAAAATTTGAAATCAAATCCCCACATAAATGTCTATTCATTCTTTGAAATTTATTAGATAGTAAGTAACACTTTAGTGGTTTTGGTGGTGCTTTGCGACAAAGTTGCGTCACTTCGGCCGTAAAGTTGTGATTATGGAGATTGGTTTTATATATATGATAGCCCTTATGATTTACATCATGTGGTAGATAGGAAAAAGGCTGAAATGCTTCAATCGTTTGAACCTGTGCATTAGCTCGTTTCGATAGGATTTTCGATTTTTATTCTCTAATATCTTTGAAAGAGGTTAACCTGTGGATAATATACATGAAAACGGTAGTAATTTAAACTACCTAGAAAAAGAGTTTTTGCAAAAGCGAATGCTGCATAATATTTATTATTATTTAACACAGTATAGATATTATTATTTAACACAGTATCTTTAATGTAGGTACTTATATAATTTATGGATATAGGATTGAATTCATTTTATTGATATAGATTATAAATAACTTGACAATTGCTAAATGTTTGTTATTTAAGCATTTAATATTTTCTCAACAGTGATTTTTAAGTAGTATCAATTACATAGGTAAGACCAGCTAGAAAGGTACATACTAAATACTGTTCTCAAATGTAAACAGGTTGAATTATTTTCACTTTACCTTCTAACATACAATAACGTACTTTTACTTTTGTGATCTTCAATTTACACATCAAGCTTGCTTGCTCGTGGATCTAGTACTTGACTTAAAATGAACCCTTAAATGACATATATAATTTGATGACTCCGTGGAGCAGTTGCCTAGGTATTGGCTTCGGCGTTGGGGATCGTGGGTTCGATCCCCACACGGGACAACTATTTGTGTGACCCACAGATAGTTGTTTCGCTTCTGGGTGTTTGTATACGTGAAATTTATGATTGTAAAACGTCCTCACAACGGAGGATAATTTTATCCTAAAGTAAGGGCAACGTTTTAAAGAAAATATTGATATTTATTTTTAGTGTCCCGTTTTACCCTTTTGGTGCGGAACCCTAAAAATGATCGCCATCTTACGAATGAATGAAAGATCGCACTTCAATTTTAGATTTATTTTTCGCTGTCGTTCAGTAATTACCTCGGAACATTTCACATTCAGGCTGATTTTAAATAGAGCGTTTCGGACGCTCTCAGGCGTGTTTTAACATAAAATTAAAAATGACGGGTTCACGAGTGTTGTCCGGTTCTTTATTTATATGACTTATAACGAGTTAAATAATAATCATGTCCGTTTGCATAATTTTTATTGTATTTACAAAAGAAAAAAAGAATGCGTATGCAGTCTGTCAAGTTGTAGAAATCGCGTGGACTATTTTGTGAAATTGCTTATGCCTATCAAGATAACACTATTATTTTTTTCTTAAAAAAGCGGCTGCCAACGTTGCGGTAAGTCAATGCTTGGAACATAGAAGACATGCAGAACACTCGAAATCATGTTTTAGCGCGGACGTATTAGAGATCGAAAACTATCACGATGAAGTTAATCAATTGATGGGAAATGTTTGCGAAGCGCTCTAGAAGGATGGTATAACAAAAGAAAGCCATGAACACTCAGAATCATGCTTTGCCACGGACGCGTGCGAAATCGAAAACGATCGCGATTATTTGATGGGAAAAGTTCATAAAGCGCTCTGTAGGGCTCATCCAAACAAACTAATGAGATAAAAAGGAAAGGAATGAAAGTGATTCTTTTTTCAAATAGATCCACCTGATAGATCTCCTGATAGATCCACCCGCATCGTTATCTGCGAAACTTACCAGACGCGATTCGAAGCGATGGGCAGAGCGACATTAACTGTCGCCTTAGCGGCGCTGGCCAAACCAAAACCCGTTGCCCCGGATAACGGAACTCATAAGCCACGTAACACGTGCCGAGCTCGCAGTGGTGGAGCGATGCCGGCTTGCAAGCAAACTGATGCGCGAACGGGGAACGCCATCACAGAAGGCAGGCGTAAGGAAGAAGTACTCATGATTTTGCGTTTTTGCTAATGCATATGGTAGTATTTTTCACAGATGGCAGACGTAAGGAAGAAGTAATTATGATTTATGATGAAAGTTAGCCAGTTAAAAAAGACTTATGGTAGTCTTTTTTAGAAGTAACTGGGCAGTGCTTGACAATCCCACTTGATGGTAAATGGCAACGTAACTGATGATGAATAGATGAACAGATGTTGATTTACTTCTTCTTTCTCTTACCCTTATCCCACCCAGGTGGTGTCAACAGCTAGCTGACGACAACCATCCCAGGGAATAAGCACCTGGGAATAAGATCCGGAATAATTATCTGCGAGTAACAGAAATAGTTATATATAATAGAACCCGATATATATAATAGAACACACAACCCCCGGCGCCAAAGCCTTACTAAGCTTACCAACTGCGCCACCGAGTCATCTCGATGATAAGATGATATACGATAAGTTGTCACTCCGTCACTCTCAGTTGACGATGAGTCCGCCATCTCACGAGGAAATGCTTGCTCAGTTGTTAGTTGCCAAGTGTGAACTAGAATTGAGTCGTAAGATTTCATTTATTAGATGTAAAATTGAAACATTAGTTGTCATCATCGGTATTTTACTTGGCTGATTTTTTACATGCCGTGGTTTTTTGCCATTCAAGGGTGGGTCACGGTTAACTCTAGACCGTGGCACCGCTGAAGGTCCGTAGAACAGAGAAATGTTCCGCGGGCTCTAACTTAGACTGTACTCTTGGATTGAGGTGCATTCACGCCATCTCCATAAGCTTATCTATCGGACAGATCTAAGTAAATGCTAACACGCTGACCAGTCTTATAGCATTACTTAGAAATCTTAAGTCTATTTAACGAGTGTTCTACCAGATCCGTGAGAGCCACGACAGCTCAATGTCACGGCGCTCGCTTTAAATTAAATGTATTCGCTTCTATAATCCCGGTGACGACATCAATGAAATTTTGGATTACACTTTTAACTCACTCATCTCCTGTCCAACGAAAGAAACCATGTGAACGAAGGAAAACATGTGCATATTTTCGAAATAGTAATAATTAAATTATTGGGAAGATATGCGATGTGCTCTAAGCTGCGGTGGAGTCACGTGGTGCTATGCTCCATACGCTCTGTCCAGATTAGGCCTTTGTTCAGTAGTGGTCATTTCCCTGCCCATCACCATGGAGATTATTCAAACGTTGATTTATCGTTTGATAAAAAAGCAATTGTCTATTACGGGATTTGTTATTTAAGTTTTATTATTTTTTAAAACGTTTTTTTATCTGTTAACTTAATACAGATATTTATTAGGGACCGCAATTAAAATATATTTATTACATTAAGACGTTCCTCTTAATGAGACCGACACTCTCACAGATAACACTTCCTATTCAGCTTTGATAACTTAAAGTGAAAGTTTGAAATCGTACACTGTGCAAGTGCGTACACAAATTAAACGTACACAGACAAAAAAAGGACAGTAAAAAAGGAGACTTTTGAGAATCAAACATCGTACAAGCAGTTTCTCCTCGACCCGCGCTCTCTAATTGCGCCTCGTTGACAAGTGTGGGCGTGACGAAAGATAAATGCCCATGTACATTGAACGTTAGATGAATCGGGTTCGACACACATTCCATTCGCCCGCGGCAATCGATGCGACACTAAGAAAAAAAGTTCGCAAATTGAATCGGCGTAAACACGGTTACGCTGGCAGCGCAGCGCGTGCACAAATCGACTTGAGCTGACGCGCCATTTGCAACCGTAACGCACTACTTATAAATTCGAAAATCCCGCGAACGCCGAGCAACGGCACGGGAGAAACGAAGCGCGCATACGGTCGACCGTTAAACAAATCTTATTAGAGCTGACGCGATTGAAATTTGACAATTGTCGCACAAAGGAATCGCTTTTTGTCGATGCACAGATGATGTTAGTTCCGGTTCCTTTTTGGGAGCGGAAACTTTTTTATAAGCTTTTCCCGATCAACCAAGTTTGTTGATATTGATTATTTTTGAAGTGAAAACCTACTTCTTTAGGCGCGTTGAGCACTTTTTGGGTGAACAAAATTCAGGGAATTTGCGTTATCGTCACCGAAAACTTTTGTTTATTTTAATTATTATAATATATAATAATTATTTTTAACTTAAGAAATATTAACATTACAATTATATTATTTATAAATAAATTTTTTTAACTTAGTTTTTTCACTTCCACACTACATCTCTCATCACAAATAATCTTCAAAGCGGAACAATGTACCAGGGCACCATAAACGCCGAGAAATTGTTTACATTATTACTTTCGTTTACGTGCATCGTCGGGTCAAGGGTCAAGTCCATAGGTGTCAAGGTGGGCCGGTCCGTTGACCTCTATAGCCTCATGTTAACCCATTAATATAACCGATTTTTGAATGAGGGATTTCGTCGTAAAGATATAAAATTAGTTGTTTTCCTTTCATTTAAATTAAATAATAAGTAAGCTGAGGTTTTATAACATATAATCTTTTATATTTATTTTCCATTTTAATTATTTCCATTTTAATTTTAAATAATAATTCATATGCTACAAATTTTAGTTCGACATTTAACCATTTTAAAGTTATAAATATTTTGGTGCCAGGATATCATTAAAGCATTTGTATTGTGGTTTAATACACTAAAGTGGTTATTACAAATTGAAAAGCGAACCCTCAATAAGCTAACCTACAAGTGGCAAAGACTAAGTACTAAGTACTAAAATAAAATTTCGATAGCAAAGATCTCTGTTTCTAAAATATTCACTGTAAAAGTTTAATTTCAAAAAGTTCTATTACTTTCTTCGTTTTTTTTTTCTCACAGATAAAAGAGATTTTTTTTAGTTATATTTCTGTTCGCTAATTCCTATATTGTATGTCAATTTTCTGCATGTATTTAGTTAATGATAATTAATGAATAAATAAAAAGAGTGTTCGCTGCGATGAGGATGTCGACCATTAGCTTAGTGGCTAGAGCATCTGGACTCGTAATTCGGAAGGCACAGGTTAGAATCCTGGCAGCTGGGAAAAAATAGTTTTTATCTACACATAAACACATAGCATTTATGCTTAACTGGCATCTTGTGTTATCTCTCTTCATCCCATTCTGTTTTCTCTTCTCATTCCCGAGGGAATGGCAAACTATTTGACGATTTGTGCGATCACGAAGGTTCTAAGTGAGCAAACAATGTAACTTTAAAGGTCTTGTACATCCTTAAAGCGCCTTCACATTGAAATCCGTTGAATTACGATTTTCCCCCTGGAGAATTATTGTTCGCAATTTTCGCACGGCCCCGATTCCCCCGGTTTAGAAACATACATACATTCACCAGACATTATTGTCTCGGCCTGTAAGTCGGACGCGGTTGTGCCGCATTGGTTCCTTCATGTATTGAAAAGTATTCGTATAGAAGAAGCTTAATTGACAGCGGCACACATAGTGCTGAAGTGCAAATAAGTTTGGAAGACAGTAATAATTGCATTTATTTATTATCAAACAATATAAGAAAAAATTATTTTAACTGCAGAAAAAAATATTTAACGGTAGGGCCAAGCAACAGTCATGGACTACTTATTGTACCCATGCGTGCAACAGTTAGTTGCACGAATGGGTACTTACCCGGACGCGACTGCCCATTCGTGCAACAGCCGAGGCTGCTGCGTGGCCCTATCATAGTGACTGCGTTTCTCACTTACAAGCTTTTTTTACATTCGCGTTATGCACTTGACCTTAAGTGAATACGATTCCAATGATAATCTGGAACATTCGATGTAGTCTTCTGCAAAAGGGTCTAAAATTCAATGTCAATTTCAAAAATGTTAAATTAAGCTTATCCAGAGATGAACCTGAATCTCTGTAGTATTATTTTATGTAATCTTCTTTTTTACCAAAAGCTTTTATAAAATAGTATCGGTATTATTTAATATTGTTTCATTTAATTAACATTGCTACACCTACATTTTTTTATTTGCCTAATTACAGAAGCTGCAGTCTAGTATTACAGTGTGCAGGTAAAAACGAGATTCACTTCTGGTTTAGATACGTATAGATATTTAAAAATGTGAAGATAGTAGACAGCATGATAGCTCAGTAGCAGCCATGATAGCTCAGTGTCCGGGCGCTCACTTTTGCTTCAATATACTGGACCATCCTGAGTTCAAATCCTGGGTCAGCACCAATGAAATTGTAAAAGCTGGGTTATCATGTGCTCAGCGGTGAACAACATCGTGGGGAAAGCATACTTTCGAAAGAATAAGAAAAAAAATATTTCGAAGATATGAAGTCTGCCAGTCCGTAGTAGGGTCTTGTGGTGGACTATGCCCTAATATCCCCAGTATACCGGAGGCCTTTCGTCAGCAGTGTGACTTGTACTGGCCTGTTTACTTTACAAACGTAAAATAAACATTAATTGTAAAACTAAAAGTTAGTCTAAATAAAATATAAACAATGAAAAACGACATTCATCATAAAAAGTAATTGAACCTACTTGGTTCTGCGTCTTCTTTGCTTTGATTATCTGTAGGGAAAGCAATTGAGACGAAATAAAATGGAGGCATAGTGCCTTAAAGTGCTGCCGGCGAAACTTTCGATTTTGCGACCGTCTGAAGATCACGATGTATAGATTCGTTGAAAGTCTGTCGTGAGCCTGAGCGCAAGTGGGCCGGTGAAAACCTAGGCATTAGCATAGACAAGCTCCATAGACAATGCGTAATTTATGGTAAATAGGTGGGCTCGTATAATTAAGGATGGCGGCAGCAATGGCTGAGTGTACGTTCGTTTATGGGCGCTTAATGAAGGGAAGTAAGTGAGAGGATATAGTGTACATTGTCTAGTTTTGAGTTCAACGATAGCGCGAATATTTAGTTGGTCACCATTCCATTTTTTACAAATTCTAATTCAAAATCAAATATCTTTATGCAATATAGAAGCATGACATTTATTGTTTGCCATGATACTACTATCGGTTTGGAGAAAAAGCTGAGAAGAACCGGCGAAAGAAACTCAG